GCGACTGCAGGAAGCAAGGTTCCAAAACCATCAAGCTAAAAAGGATTTACTGTGTGGGACAATGACTAAAGTATTCACAAAGAGAGACAAAAGGAACAAAGGATTCTATGACATTCAATTGTTTTAAAAAATATAATAAATAAAGTCGAAGATGCCAAAAAGATCATCATGGCTAGAACTTGTTCTAAAGTATTTGCCTTTGCAAACAATATTTCCTAGTTGCTTGAATGATGACCAATAATTGTACTTGAGAATTTTGAACAAGTACATCAATTGAAACCGAGTACAAGGTAATTTGAATTGTCATATTTGACAAAATTAACTATGTTCTTGCAGACCATAAAGTGTCCTATGCATTTTGTTGTTACCAAGTCCACTGTTAATGTATAATAGTCTGAACTCTTACTCATCAAGATATTGCCCGCTTTGGCTTAATGTCCTCACGATTTTGCCTCAATGGACTAACTTCCCAGAAGATCACCCACCCATCGCAAGAATTCTCCCATACGAACACACTTAATTTTGGGATTTCTATCGAAACAAATCATTTCTCCCACTAAGTGGGGTCGGCTACATAAATCCTTGTTGCCCATTGAGTCCTATTGAGAAATTCCACCATTGGACCAAAATTCGCCTTGATGTTTAAGAGTTCAACTTCATTCTCCTTAAGAGGTTTCACAATCTACTTCACTTAAATATCGTCGTCAGTGCTATAAACCTAGAATCATCCACCTGACAAATAAGATTCTAGAGGCGAATTCTACAGATTCAAGAGGTGGCTCCTAACATTTTGTTCTATATTGGGTTCATGAGGTGACTCACCAGATTTAATGTTAAGAGAATTTTATGAACATTCAAATGGTGAAAAGGTGACTGAACTTTCAACACAACAAAAAGCACAATAAAGATAACACAAGGGTTGCGCTTGAAGGAAGCAAGGTTCCACAACCACCAAGCTTGAAAGAATTCACAGTGTAGGACAAAGACTAAATGATTCACAAAGAGACCCAGAACAATCCATAACAAAGTATACCATAACATCCAATTATGTTAAAAAATATAATAGATCATATCCAAGCTGCCAAAAAAAGCAGCATGGCTAAAACTTGTTCTAACCATTTTAGACAGTATTTTCTAGTTGTTTGAAGGATGGTCAATGATTAGAGAGTTTTGAACTAGTACATCAATTGGAATTAAGCGCAGGGTAACCATAATTGTCATATTTGAAAAAAAATCAACTATGTTCATGCAAACCTTAAGGAGTCCTATGCATATTTTTATTACCAAGTTCGTTGTTAAAGTGTAACAGCCTGAACTCTCATTTATCAAGATGTTGTCCGCTTTGACTTAATGGCCTTATGGTTTTTCCCCCAATGGTGTAACTTTTTAAAAGGTCATCCATCTCAGGAGTGCTCCCATACGAGCACACTTCACTTTAGAGTTTCTATCGAAATTCCATCGTTACACCAAGAAGCGCTTTGATTACGAGGCTTCATAATTTCCCCCACTTAAACGTCCTCATCAATGCTTTGAACCTAGAATCACCCACCAGACAAATAGGATTTTAGAGATGTTGTCAGATTCAAGAGGTGGCTCCCACCATATAACACTTACTCCTATATTGGGTTCATGAGTGTCTCACCAGATTTAATTTTAGGAGAATTTTATGAACATTTAAAAGCTAATTGAATTTTTAACTGAACAAAAAGCACAATAAATATAGAATGAGGGTGGTACTTGCAGGAAACAAGGTTCCTCAACCACCAAGCTCAAGAGGATTCGTAGTGTGGGACAAAGTCTAAAGGATTCACAAAGAGAAACAAAAGGATCCATAACAAAGGATACCATAACATCCAATTATGTTAAAAAATATGATAGATCAAATCCAAGTTGCCAAAAAGTCCATCATGGCTAGAACTTGGTCTAAAGTATTTGTCTTTGAAAACAATGTTTCCTAGTTGTTTAAAGGATGGACAATAACTATACTTGAGAATTTTGAACAAGTGCATCAACTGCAATCAAGTACAAGATAACTATAATTACCATATTTGACAAAATTAACTATGTTAATGCAAACTTTAAGGGTCGTATGCATATTCTTATTACCAAGTCCATAGTTAATGTGTAATAGCCCAAACTTTTACTCATCAAATTTTTATCCACTCTGGCCTAATGGTCTCATGGTTTTTCCCCAATGGTGTAACTTCACAAAAGGTCACCAATCTCATAATGTTCTTGCACGACCACGCTTAACTTTGGACTTTTTGTCGAAATTCGACCATTACACTAAAAGTACTTTGATGTTTATGGGTCCGTTTGGGGCAGATTGTGCGTTTCAGGATAAACTGCTTATCCTGAAACGCGGCCCGCCGCGGCCCGCGGGTCGACCCCTGCGTCGACCCGCTGCCTCCGTTTCGTGTAAAAACCCAAACACAGTTTTGGATAAAACGCGCGAACGCGCGAACTAAATGGTATGACGCTTTTTGAAAACGCCGCCCGCACTTATAAGCTGCCCCAAACAGATCTTAAAACTTCAGCTTCATGGTTACTTAAGAGTTTTCATAATCTTCCTCATTTAAACGTCATCTTTAGTTATCTAATTCTAGAATCTTTCACCAAATAGATAGGATTCTAGTTTTGACCCGTACAGATCAAGAGGTGGCTCCCACTATGTAGCAATTTATCCCATATTAGGTTCATGAGGTGGCTCCTATGGTATAACATTTTTTTTTGTATGACAATATTTACATCTTCAGATTGGTATAATGCTCCGAAACCATTTGTAACAATCTGAACTTTCACTCATTAAGATATTGTCCACTTTGGCCTAATGACAATGGTTCAACTTCCAAGGAGGTCACCCATCCTAGGAGTGTTCCCATACGAGCACACTTAATTTTGAAGTTTTTGTCAAAATTTCACCGTTACACTTAAAGGAGCCTCGATATTTAAGAGTTGGACTTCATTCTATTTAAGTCGTTTCACACAAAGAGAGTAAGAAATCATTCACTATGACTAGCAAATGCTGTTTAGAATGGAAAAGTCTTAGTAATATCAAAAAAACCTTATAATGGAAAAGTCTTTTTTTATAAAGGCAGTAAGCAATCAAAGCAGGATTTGGAAACAAAATACTGTTATTATTAAGGTGTGAATTGTCCATAACCTTTAAACCAACGAAACTGCAAAAAGAGAGATGAAATGAGCGCACACTTTATGTGAGCAATCGTGATTTTCCTAATGTGCAGGTTTCGTAAAAGAATTGAAGAGGTAGGTGCTAGGTGGGAGATGGGTATGAGAGGAGAAGATGCTCAACTTTAGTGCAATGCATGCAGCGTTGCTGTGTAATAGATCAGAATCCATTGCAAGGGTGCATTTGAGAGCTGCACCTATTATGCTCACACGTGGTAGAAGCAGTAGAAGCAGCTTGTTAAGGATTGACTTTTGTATGGAGTGTATGGTAAATGAGCAACTGTGTGATGGTAAGTCTAGCTAGCGTCTTTAGGGTGACTGTGCTTCATAAATGCGGTGCACTCGAAGTCACATGAGATTAGGATGCATGGAAACAAAGGAAGTGACAGTTATGACCGTTGTGGAGCAAATTGACGAAGAAGCACACGGTAATGGTCAGTTTTGTCAAATTGAGGCCACAAAGTTTCAGAATGTGTTCAGATGTTAATGGATGAGCGTGGTTGCAAAATTCCCTAGTTGGATGCATACATTTTTGGAACTTTTTTAAAACACAATGTCCCAATTGATTTCAAGTTGGTTCATATAGTAAAGCAACAAAAACTGCCTGATGAACCCTTGGACTACAAGATTGAAACAAAACTCACCTGTCTATATGACCTTCCCACTTCAACTTATTTCATCTCTATTTTCTATTTTTTCTTGGAATGCTTGGCTTCTCTTACTTGAGAAATTCATTTAAAATGCTCAATTTGAGAAATTGTTTTCAGAAGAATGATAACAGCAGCTGATACGGTAAGGGTTTTGAAATATGTGCTTCTGTAGTTCCGGCAGATTTCAGTTAATCCATGACTCCTGGACCGACTGCTTCCTGAAGGCTTTGCTCAACTGGAAGGCTCCCTGGCTTCTTTTTATATTCTGTCTTTTAATTTAGTGAATGTTTTAAAGAAAAATTTGGGGTTGTAGCGTGCCCTCACCTATGTTATTTTCTAGGCTTCAAGATAATGTTGGTTAAATGTTTTTGTTTTTTTGCACATCTTGCAACTGATTGGCAGCTGATGCGAGCTTGTCTACTTGTCAGTTTCTTAATTAAATAAAAATACATGAATGATTTCTGCTTTCTAATAGTTGTATTTTTGGGTTAAGAACTTTTTAAAGCTTTGTGCAGCACCGACACCACTGTTTTACATTATTCATGTCTTCAAGTCTGAACCTAATTTCTTACTGAAAATTGGGGTTGGACTTGGCGAATTTATATTTGGTCTCTGCTGAGTTGTTTTTTTTTTTTTTGGTTTCTCCACTAGATGCTAATACTTTTTGCTCTTAAGATTATTTTCTTTGCTGCTAATTGATAATACTAATATATCCTTTTTTATTTTTCTATCTATCCATCCTAGTTGTACAAGAAGTCGTCGAATGCCTTGTAATATGTGATTTTTTTTTGTTCTTCTAATGCATATATGTTAAAGTAGACAGGTTCTTCTTTCTTGAAAATCTTGCGTTACGATATATTCCTTTTGTACTCTATTGGAGATTGTGTGCTTTACATGTTTTGTTTTGCATTTGCAACTATTTATCTGTGCAGCTAGTTACTTCAAGCTGTGATATCTTGCTGAAATCTGTATAATCGTTGAGTTTGAATTAATGAGAATTTACTTAAGTATTTTTATGTCCATTGTTTCCATCCATATTCCTCAGCCATATTTGCCGCAGAATTAAAAAATGGGAAAAAAGTACATTTGTTTTAATGAAGATATATTTAACTGCGCTATGATGCTCCTATTTAACAAACTCCCTGACTTGATCCTTAACAGTGATATGGGGGACCGACTGAAGGGAAATTTTCGGCATTCGCAATCACAAGCGGATATTGAATATGGGCCTGGAGGAACCAGGGGAGGAAAAAATCGGTTAGAAGGTGTTTTAGAGGGTAAATCTCCTGAAGAGAGGAAAAATAAGGGACATACAATGAGCAGTGATGCTCACCTTGGCATTGGTAATGTGCAGTCTATATCAAAAGGTACTGAGTATGAAGAAACACGTTATGAAAGAGAACATGGCAAAAGGCCCAAGAGAAAGTTTGACAAAGACCAACTTTTGCTTTCTAATTATTCAGATTCTGATGTTGCTCAGAAGATTGAAAAACAACTTAAGAGATCGGACAGTTACAAGCGTAATATCAGTGAAAGTTCTGAGAATGATTCACAATTTGATGAGAAGAAGGAAGCTAAAAGGAGGAGAAAGGAGGAGAGAAGGCTGCGCAAAGAGGAGAAGTACCGGATGCGTGAAGAGAGGCGTCGAAGAAGGGCCGAGCGTCCTGCCAGACAAAAAGTTAGAACTATGGATGATTTAAGCCCTTCTTCAGATTTTGAGAAACACCTTAGCGACGCTAATGATTCAGATCATGATGCTTATCGGAGAAAGAATTCTCATACAACCAATGCAAAGGAGGCAGAGTCTGAGCAGAAGAGGCTCGAGATAGAGCTGCGAATGAAGGCCCTTGAATCTCTTAGGGCCAAAAAAGCTATCAATGATTAGATTTGTTAATTTTTGGACATTTTGGTTTCCGTTCATGTTATGCAAAATATATTTCTCATGTTTATCTGTAAACTTTTTAAAGTTGAAGGCAGGGGCATCCACTAGTTGGAGTGTCTCCTTTTGTCCTTTCAAATGTTTGATATATTGTGTTTACACTGGCAGCTATGTGGGTAGCTGGAGTTTACCGTGGTAGATAGTTCCATATATCTGCAAATCTTGCTGTTCAGATTTCTGGTAAAGTCCAACTTTACTTTGTTGGTTGGCTTACATTCTGATAATTGCTGTCTTCATCTTGCGCCATTTATCACTTAACACGTCTCATGCATTTTAAATGCTTTATTCCATGCTTAATATTTCTAAGCAGAACTCTGTTATTTCACTAGATGGGCCTTTTCTTATCAAAATTAAACTCATCCAGAAAGGAGCATTATTTGGTTTTCTGTTATATTCGTTGTTACTAAATCAACTTTGTCCTTGGTTGATAGATGAGCCTACTGCCAAGTAGGATCCGGTAAAGCTGGTCATGAGCAAAAACACACTTGAATTTCAGCTCAGGTGAATTAATGTTTGTGCTCTTATGAATTTCTTATTAGAAGCCACATTATATGCAAACTATATCTAACTTATACGCAATTAATATTATTGCTTCATATTTTATTTTGGTTTATCTTGTGGATGATTGGCAGCTCAAAGCTCTATGCGGAGATCTAATGTTAAAAATTACGTCTGGGTGTTTTATTGGTTTCATCGTTTATGTAAAGGTTTAACCTAAGTGAAATCTGGAAATTTTTAATAAGTTTATTTTTTTGTTAAAATGTGCTTTGGATCAATTTTGAGGAAAGAGAGATTCATGACATTGAATTTTGCCTTTTTAAATTATTTCATGCTACCTTCCTTGCCCTTTTGTATGTTCTTTAGACAGTGTCCTTGTGTTATATATCCAATTTCCATTTGATTGTGCATTGTGAATGGTTGGCAACATACCACTATAGTGTTGTTCTTGATAGCGCTACTGCAATTTGAAGGTTGACATTCACTTTAATTTTTCACACCCTTATGCTCCAAGCAATTCTATTATTATGATGTTTATATCAGGAAAAGTTAAATTTACACCTGGACAGTCTATGTTTGATTTGGTCTGTGTAGAGGCATGATTGATATATAATCTTTCTGACGTATAAGGCTTATCTTTTATTCTTCCACTTTTCAATGAACTATTTTTGTTGAGGTCAATCTATATTGATTTGAGGGCTTGCTTGCTTGTTCCAGTATCCGGACTATTATCTCCATCTCATACAAGAATTCACAACTTCGAACATTAGAAAATAAAAATTAAGGGATTAGTGTTTTGTTCATCACCGGAGTAGTTCTCTTACAGATGCTGGTATTCATCCCTTTCTCTCAATTTGTAACTTGTAAAAATTCAGGCGAGGTTTTATCAAGTGAACAGTTTGTAGAATGTTGGAGATTATTCAAAGTAGTTTAAAATTTGGTAGAACAGATACTATGTAGGTGTAATGTAATTTTATTGGATGTGAAATTTATTATCATCAGTTACTATTACTAGAAGATTAAGTAATGCCTAGCCATGATAGATTTAAGTATCCCAAATCTGTTTTTTAAAATAATATGATATGGAAGAAGACATGCATACCGGAAGTTGAGCTCATAATTACTTTTGGAGTGCACGGCTTATCTTTCATGATAAATTTATAATAAACCCTAATTTATTATAATCTTTCCGGCATGTAGGGCTTATCTTTTAATAAACCCTAATTTATTATATTCTTTCTGATGTGTAGGGCTTATCTTTTATTTTTCCACTTTTCAATGAACTACTTTTGTTGAGGTCAATCTATATTGATTTGAGGGCTTGCTTGCTTGTTCTAGTATCCAAACTATTATGTATGTTAGAAGTTGTTAGTATCGATTTGTTTCTTTTCCTATATTTCCTGTTTTATATAATTTCTTCTTGTTTTATGTATTTCCTATTTGTATTTCTTTCTTATTTTATATCTTTCCTATGTCAGAAATCATATAATCTGTACTATACATCTCCTTTCATATCAATAAGATCATCATGTTTAGTTCCCAATACATGACATCGGAGCCAAGGATCTAACCCTAGCTACCGCCAGGACATCCACCCAGCTGCTGGCATTTCCTGCAGGACATCCACCTAGCCACAGTTTTTTCCTGCAGTTTTTTTCCAGTCGTCGGTGGTCTCAACCGATCCTTCCTACACATTTTTCTAGATGCCAGACCCCCTGCATTTGTTTTCCGGCCGCTGATCCTTCCTGCAGATTTTCCCTAAATGTCCAGCTATTAGTGGTATTGGCCGATCTTTTCTCCAAATTTTCCAGGCAGTTTTCCTGAAGGTTTAGCCGCTGATCCTTCCTGCAGCTTTTTCTAGCTGTGAGACCTCCCCCTGCAGTTGGAATCCTTGTGTCGGCATCCCAACCTCACCTTTGGTTCAGTCGGAATTGTGGCAGACTCCACCATAGAGCCTCCTTCCGATGGTGACTTGACTCCACCGGAGGATCGACACCGACCTCAATACCTCCTCAAATCGGAAGACCTGAAAATCACATGAACTTCTTGATTACCACCTATAAACTCAACACTTCTAATTTCTCCCAATGGTCTCAAGTTGTGTCATTGTTCGTCAAAGGACGAGGTAAATTTGACTATCTTGTATGTTTAATTCGTGAGCCTCCGAAGACTACATGATTGATAAATTCCATGGAAAGCCCGATTGACTATTCGTATTTATTTCTTCCGCCTGCAAGTTTCCTCTATTCTGCGATTTGCGATACCTACTTGGACATAGAAATTTTGTCCAACTCTATGAGGTTTCTACGAAGATTTGCGAGACAAAACAGGGATCAATGACGGTGACCAAGTATTATAATGACTTGGTTGCCTTGTGGATGGAATGCGATCTCTACTTCGACTGCACTTGGGACTCTTCGACTGATCTTTTCCTCTTCCAAAAAATTGTGGAAAAGGATTGTGTGTTCCAATTTCTGACCGGCTTGAACAAATTTCTCGATGAAGTCTGGGGCTGTATACTTGGTCGTGGTCCCCTTGGCGTGAAGTAAGTTGGAGGCTTGTCATGCTCGACGTCTTCACTCCTTAGCCGAACCTTCCGCCTTGGTCTCCAATAGTGCTCAACACTCTGTCACACCTTCACGAGCCAATTATTCCACATGTGATTTTTGTCGCAAATCCTACCATACCCTATAAGTGTTGGAAGCTCCACGAAAAACCGACAATTAAGTCTCCAACCAAATCTTCCGCTGCTGAGTTTCTTGTTATGACCTCAGAATCCATGACTGTGCAGCTGACCCCCACTGGGGCCATCCCAGAATCACCTGACTCCATCAAGAGTCAGATGAAACACTTAATTAAGTTGCTTGGATCTAATCAGTTCTCTTCCGGCTCGTCGGCCTCCCATATTCATCAAGATAACATTTCTATGGTTCTCACTACTTTTGCTTCTAGTTTGTGGATTATTGATTAAAGTGTCACAGACCATATGACTGGGTATTCATAAGTCTTCTCGATATATTTTCTGTGCTTTGGAGAGATACTTTTAAAATTGTCGATGATCCTGTAGTTTTATTTCAGGTAATGGGTATGTTGTTCTTATAGTCGGGCCGACTCTGGTTCCGTGTTACATATTCCTTTGTTGAAGTGTAATATTTTGTCGGTCAGTAAGTTGACATATGACCTTGATTACGTTGCTCATTTTTCTCCTTCTGTTTGTGTCTTTCAAGATTGGCATTCGGGGATGATAATTAGAACTGCTTAGCGGATGGCCAAATTATTCCAAGAAAAAGGAATTGATGACGCGAACACTCCATCCCGTAGTTGTTTTTTCGATCTATTGAATTTTATGTTATGCTTTTACTTTGACGTTTGTGTCATTCTAGTTGTCACTATTCAAAACAATTGTATCATTTGTTGTTTATCAATAAAAATTTATCTAGTTTCAAATGTGAAATTTGTCATTTTTCTAAACATCATGTACCATATTCACCACATTCTTATTTTATCTAGTTTCAAATGTGAAATTTGTCATCTAAACATCATGTACCATATTCACCACATTCTTATATTGCTTACGCTTCTTTTTCACTGATTCATAGTGACTTATGGGGACCCTCTCAAACTTCGAGCTACAGTAATAAACGGTGGTTCTTTACCTTAATTGATGACCACAGTCGGATTACTTGGGTCTTTATATTAAAAAACCAAATCTAAAGTGGCGGTCACCTTAAAAAATATGCTTATTCATTTTGACCCAAATCAAAACCTCTATTTAAGTCCTTCGGGCCGACAACGACTCACTTAACTCTTTTGTGAGAGAAGTTTTGGTAAGGGCGTCCTTCATTATAGCTCTTGTACGAATACTTTTCAACAAAATGGTGTAGTTGAGAGAAAAAAACCTACACTTTCATGAGTTGCTTATTCCTTTATGTTTCAATCTAATGTCCTGAAACGTTTTTTGGAATGACCTCGTACTTACTGCCACATAGCTCATCAATAGAGTCCCCATGAAAATTCACAACTTTCGGTCCCCGTTTGCAATCTTGATGTCGTGTTTTTCCACCAACTTGTTCTTCTCCAAATTAGATTCCAAAATATTTGGGTGCATGACCTTTGTTCGGAACACAACCCCAACTTTTAAACTTTGTGTCCGGTCAATCAAATATGTCTTCATTCAACCTCTCAAAAAAAGCTATCAGTGCCCCGATCCTACCACCAATATAAGTCATATCAACACCTTTCTTCTCTAATACTTTCCAAAGAACTTCTCTTGGAACCTTACCATAAGATTTTTCTTAATCAATAAAAATCTTATGCTGACCCTCATTTTTCTCTCTGTACGTCTCCATCAAACCTCTCAATAAATGTATAGCTTCCATGCTAGACTTGCCCGACATAAATTCAAACCGATTATGAGAATCTTTGTAGCACGTCTTAATTTATGTTCAATTACCCTCTCCCATAATTTTAAAGTACGACACAACAACTTAATTCCTCTATAATTTGAACATTCTTGTGCTTCTTTTTTAATCTTAAAAATGGGGACTAAAATACTCTTCCCCCACTACTTAGATTTCTTTTTTTAGTTTTTAAAATAATATTTAAGAGTTTAGTAAGCCAAGAAACTCTCAAATCTCCTAAATATTTTCACACTTTAATTGAGATATCATATGCTCCTACTGATTTTCTACCATTTGTTTTCTTTAAAGCCTCTTACACTTCTTTTTTACTAATGCGACGGTGAAAGAAAAACATTTTATTATTATTAACGATTTTAAAATCACTAAGATCGATAGTTTATTGAAAAGTTTATAAAATTAATTTACCTACCTATGTTGAATATCTTCTTCTAAGTAAATATTTTTTTTTATTTTCATCTTTAAATTTTCATCTTTAATACACTTTAATACACTTTACTTGAGTTAAATCTTTACTTTTCTTTTGTTTTTGTTCGAGTAGTTTATGCATATATTTTCACCCTTTGCGAGTGTCGATATCTTCTTTTTTGAAAGTATCCGCTACTTCCTTAACAATGCCTCGAGTAAGGGGGAGCTAGATTTTGTGGACACTGTTTCTTTACCTTATCTATCATATATTCCACCTGCTCCTACATTCACTGTTTCCGAGGAACCCTTTCTCCCATTGTATCCAC